GTTTTCTACCTGATGTTTATCAAATATGGGATGAGGTCATACGGCTAACTCCTAAAAAGGGATGCCTACTATTTAATGCTCCTATATGCTGGGAAAAAATAGAGCCATCCCCAGAAGTTAGCTGACAACTTAATTATAATGATTAGAAACAACTGGGATTTCTGCCTCATGAAATACACAACACATTCCTGTGTTTTCCAATCCCAGTTTAGGTCCTCCTTTTGCCTGGTCAGGAACTGATTGGGACTGGATCCCTCAGTCATGCTGGTTCACTCCAAACGGGACCTACTGGCTATGTGGTTCTTACCCATGGGTATGGCTTCCCCCAGCTGGATAGGAAGATGCATTCGAGGTCTAACTTTTCCTCATGGCTTCATATTTTCAGAACTTTCAGAGAAGCCTCCTAATCTACCACACCTTAAAACTTGTTGGGTAATAATCATTTCACTGGTATGGTTATCTGGCTACAATATTTCTCCCCTCTCTGGAAACCACAGATGATATGTTATGCTACCAGTTGATGCTCTAACTTTCAGCCCTTAATACTGAACAAATACTAAATTAGAAAGGTGGTTTTACAAAACAGATTGGCCTTAAGATATTCTAATGGCTGCACCAGGAGGAACTTGTGCCATTATTCATACCCAATGTTGTACATATATACCAGATATGAGTACTAATGTTACTCACTTTACTAAACACATGAACAAGATGATTCAGGCTATGGATTCTCCTAGACTCAGTCACCTTACTTGGGAAACAATAACTAGCTCCCCGTGGTAGAAAAATGTCTTATAATAATTCTAATTGTTCTGTTTTTACTGTTTGTTCCTTGCATCTGTAACTGTGTAACTGGGCTTGTATCTAACTGTTTGAAAGCTTTTAAGTTACAGATGGTTGTCCAGGCTTCTACCAGTGCCATAACCTCCTCCAACTATTACTTGGGGCCCCTGGATCAGAGACCCTCCATATGAGGGTTAGGAGAATATGTCGCCTCAACAATTTAGGGACCATGCCCCTCAACAGCAGGAAGTAGTTATGGAATGAAAATGACATGCCTTTCCCTTGGCAACATAATTCTCCTAAAAGAAAAGAGGGAGAGAGTCAATTCCTAGGCAGGTTGAGAAGTCCAGGGTTCCTGAGGAGAAGGGGTCTGGGGCTCTCGAAGTGGAGATAGGAGTCTGGAATTCTCAAGGAGAAAAGGACAAATATCTTTTTTCCCTTCTACATTCCTTAGTCTTAGTCACATAGAACTTTTTTTCTTTAAGCCCAGAACTGATGATTACACAACAAACAACTCAGTTTAAACTCTGTACTAAGGATTATATAACAACAATGTATCCCATCTGAGGACAGTTTCTCCTTCCTGAAAACCTTCTGGTTAATCCTGTTACCTTAAAATGTAAATTATGGGAGTGGGTCTAGTAAGATCTTTACAACCTCAAGACATTCTTCTGATTTATTGTAATAATCTAATTAAAAAGTATATAATTCCCTTGCGAACACTAGTGAGGGGGGCACTCTCCGTACCCCTTCTGATGTCTGTGTCAGAAGTTTTCTCTGCCCCTTTTCATACTTTAATAAAATTCTGCTACACAAAAGAAAAAAAATTGCTTGGAGAAATATCAACAACCTTAAATATGCAGATGATACCACTCTTAAGGTAGAAAGATAAGAGGCACTAAAGAGCCTCTTGATGAAGGTGAAAGAAGAGAATGAAAAAGCTGGCTTAAATCTCAACATTCAAAAAACTAAGATCATGGCATCTGGTCCCATTACTTCATAGCAAATAGAAGAGGAAATAATGGAAACAGTGGTAGATTTTTTCTTGGGCTCTAAATCACTGCAGACAGTGACAGCTGCCATAAATTAAAAGATGCTTGCTTCTTGGAAGAAAAGCTATGACAAACCTAGAGAGCATATTAAAAAGCAGAGACATCACTTTGCCAACAAAAGGCTGTCAGTTTTTTCAGTAGTCAGGTACAGATGTGAGAGTTGGACCATAAAGAAGGCTGAGTGCTTTAGAATTGATGCTTTTGAACTGTGGTGCTGGAGAAGACTCTTGAGAGTCCCTTGGATAGCAAGGAGATCAAACCAGTCAATCTTAAAGGAAAGAAAAGAAGAAAGTGAAGTTGCTCAGTCATGTCTGACTCTTTGCGACCCCATGGACTGTAGACTACCAGAGTCCTCTATCCATGGAATTTTCCAGGCAAGAGTACTGGAGTGGGTTGCCATTTCCTTCTCCAGGGGATCTTTCCAACCCAGGGATCGAACCCAGGTCTCTCGCATTACAGGCAGATGCTTTACCATCTGAGCCACCAGGGAAGCCCTCTAAAGGAAATCAACCCTGAATACTCATTGGAAGGATTGATGCTGAAGCTCCAATACATTGGCCGCCTGATGGGAAGAGCTGACTCACTGGAAAAGACCTTGATGCTGGGAAAGATTGAGGGCAGGAGGAGAAGGGGGCAACAGAGAATAAGATAGTTGGATGGCATTATTGACTTACTGGACATGAGTTTGAGCAAATTCTGGGAGATAGTGAAGGACAGGGAAGCCTGGCATGTTGCAGTCCACGGAGAATTAGACACAACTTAGCCACTGAACAACAACAATCAGTATTCTTGCCTGGGAAATCCTGTAGATAGTGGAGCCTGGTGGGCTACAGTCCATGGAGTTGCACAGAGTTGGACACAACTTAGTGACTAAACAACAACAACAACAAAAATTCATTTCTTTCTGATGCAGAATTCACTTTTACCCAATTAAAAGTAGGAGATATATCATAAGTTTGGAAACTATAAAGCAAAGTTATAGAATTTAAAATTAAATCTGTATCCCATTTGAGCTTTCATTATTTATTTTGTTTTCTTCTTAGGGGCCAATTTCAATGTCTTCAATGTCTTACAATTTCAATGTAAGGTTAGTTTTCAATCACAGACTTGCTAAAAGCTTCAAAAGTGATAGTCTTTTTTTTTTTTTGCCACATCATTCGTTGAATAAATTCATTAAAGATTTCCAACTTTCTAAATAGAAGAAATCAAAACATACAGGACCCATTTAAACAAAAAATCACTGTTGTGAGGACAGCAGAGGGTGACTTACAGACCAGTTCTTCAAGACTTCAAGCATTTCTAATGTCTGCTTAATGATGGGCAATAACAATAAAGTATAAACTGCCATGCTTGCTTTTTAAAAAAACTGTTATTCAACATCAGCTTCTCTCACACTGTGTTTGTTTGGGTAGGCAATTTACTCTTGCACTGTATTTATATAACTGTTCCTCCCTGAAGCATTTATGTATCTTTAAGAAATATGGCATTTCTATATGTACATTTTTATAATACAATATAAATGTAAATATATAAATTTTGTGTCAGCTATGATTCAGCCGTTTTAAGTCTAAAGTCAGTAAGGGATGTGGGCCACCAATGTTTCTTTACTTAATAAAATAGCACAAAACACATTAATTTTAATTTTTATGAGCTATCCCATTTCCATTGATTAAAAACACGATTTCTGTCTATATACACATGAAAATATAATCAGATTTTTGGACGCTTTAAAGTATATTTTGTGTATGACCTTTATATGCTTGTTATATAAGTATTTTAAGTTCAAAGCAGTGTTATACTTGCTAATAATTACCAATATTTTAATCTTGCTGTACTTGTCATCAGAATTCCTAGGACACTTCCCACTAAAGAAATTAAGACTCTAGAAAAATAAAAGATGACAATTGTTCATTAAACAAAAGCAACCTGGGGGTGGGAAATAGAAGCTGTTTGAGAATATACAACCAAATCATAGTGTACATTTAAATTACAAAATTTCTTATTTTTTCAGTTTAAACAATTCTTAAAATTTCCTTTTGAAAAGCATACTGATTATATTTTAAACACATATCAAATATTGTAAACATTTTTTTTCCTTTTACTAGTAACCCCTGTCCCCCTAAACAAAATCCTAGTGAAATAGATACTGGGTGTGTGGTCAAAGCCTGTGAATATAGGCTATACGTAGGTTTGGTCTGCTGTGTTTCTTCTGAGTAAAGAATTAGAAACTTATGGCCTGCAGCCCGTATAACTGCACCTTTGTGGAGCTTGCTATGTGGGAATATATTCTTCATATAATTTGTAAAGACATTTCCTTTGCCAAAAAATGAATCATGTTCATAACAGAAAAGTTGGGAAATATAAAAAGACAGGGAAAAAACCCTGTAATCCTACCACCTAGTGATACCTACTGGTGATACTCTGGTGTGTTTACTTCCTGTCTTTCTTTTTAAACAAACAAAAATATAAACGTATGCCTATAAAAATATGATTAGGCTGTTTATAGAGTTTGAGTTCCTGATTTTCTCAATGGATCAAACGTTCTTGGTTCCTTCTCTTTCTCCTTATATGTTCTTTATAAAAATGTATGATTTTAATGGCCAAAAATATCTTCATTGAATGGATATAGCATAAGGTAAAATAAAGAATGGTATTTATAATTTTATAGCTTTTAAAGTTTTACATTGTGTAAGTAAAATTTAGGTTTTTGTTTTTTACAAAAATTGTTATATAAAAGAAAACCTTAAAAGCTGTAAAATTACAGATATCACATTTTTGACAACTGATGTCTTTTAGCATCCTATTCAACCAGTGGTACAAAGCCTGTTTATGGTTCCATGAGACTTCCCTGGTGGCTCAGATGGTAAAGCATCTGCCTACAATGCAGGAGACCCGGGTTTAATCCCTGGGTTGGGAAGATCTCCTGGAGAAGGAAATGGCAACCCACTCCAGTATTCTTGCCAGGAAAATCCCACAGATGGAGGAGCCTGGTGGCCTATAGTCCAAGGGATCTCAAAGAGTCAGACATGACTGAGTAACTTCACTTCACTTCAACTCCTCAGAGGCTAGGGAGGGTCAACAAGATAGGCATTGCACAAGGATGTGACATTCCCATATTTCACGTCATGTCCCAAGGTCCATTTGAAATTGAGAGAATCTGTAATGTCACACATGGATAACCGAAGGTCTGCTTGTAAAGTCCACATGCTGAATTCCTACAAGCTGTAAAACAGAGTTGATGGGTTTATGATCCAACCTATTCCTATCATGGTGTATAAAATGGATGTTGTTACCTAGAAGAGAATAAGAATAAAAGGTAAAGGTTAACATATAGGGTTACTCATTAGACGTACTGCTTTCTAGAATCAGAGCAGTATTTTAACTTCTAATTAGTCCAAATGAAAAAGTTAGTTATCTGGAGTACATAATATTCTCCATATGATGACACAATAAATTTTAATTAAGGTAGTAAAGCATGACAAAAATTATGGTTAAATAAGGTTGGTACTTAATGCTTTATGAGCTCCAAAGGGAAAGACTCTTAAATTATAAACTTCTGTTAGGTTTCATTAAATGTAATTAAATAAAACAGCCTGTCAAACAGACAGGAAGAATATGGAACTAGTGTCGATATCAAACCAGAAAACCATCTGTTTCTTAAAATGTGATAACAGAATAAATCACTTCCTTAAAAAATTTACCCCTAATTTCCAAATTCAATAGCCTATGTATATTATAACCATAGACTAAAAGAGGCTGAAAAAAAAAGAGCATTAAGACAATCAGTTATAATACAATTCTTCTATCTGCTCAAATGAAATAGTAGTGATTTATAGTCTAGGTCCTGTTTACTTTGATTTGTGGAATCAAGACCAGAATTTTAACATAAAACAACATTAGATTATTAAATATTATAAGAGGTATGTTCTCTGCATTGTACCTATACACTGTCTACACTAACCATTGTAGATTTAATATTATAAACTGGCTTTTTATCAAGTCAGTTCAGTTCAGTTCAGTCGCTCAGTCATGTCACTCTTTGCGACCCCATGAACTGCATCATGCCAGGCCTCCCTGTCCATCTCCAACTCCGGGAATTGACTCAAACTCATGTCCATTGAGTCCATGATGCCATCCAACCACCTCATCCTCTGTCGTCCCCTTCTCCTCCTGCCCTCAAACCTTCCTAGCATCAGGGTCTTTTCAAATGAGTCAGCTCTTCGCATCAGGTGGCCAAAGGATTGGAGTTTCAGCTTCAACATCAGTCCTTCCAATGAACACCCAGGACTGATCTCCTTTAGGATGGACTGGTTGGATTTCCTTGCAGTCCAAGGGACTCTCAAGAGTCTTCTTCAACACCATTGTTCAAAAGCATCAATTCTTCAGCACTCAGCTTTCTTTATAGTCCAACTCTCACATCCCTACATGACTACTGGAAAAACCATAGCCTTGACTAGATGGACCTTTGTTGGCAAAGTAATGTCTCTGTTCTTTAATATGCTATCTAGGTTGGTCATAACTTTCCTTCCAAGGAGTAAGCATCTTTTAATTTCATGGCTGCAGTCACCATCTGCAGTGATTTTGGAGCCCAAAAATATAAAGTCTCTCACTGTTTCCACTGTTTCCCCACCTATTTGCCATGAAGTGATGGGACCAGATGCCATGATCTTAATTTTCTGAATGTTGAGCTTTAAGCCAACTTTTCACTCTCCTCTTTCACTTTCATCAAGAGGCTCTTTAGTTCTTCTTCACTTTCTGCCATAAGGGCGGTGTCATCTGCATATCTGAGGTCACTAATATTTCTCCCTGTAGTCTTGATTCCAGCTTGTGCTTCATCCCGTCCATCATTTCTTATGATGTACTCTGCATATAAGTTAAATAAGCAGGGTGACAATATACAGCCTTGATGTACTCCTTTTCCTATTTGGAACCAGTCTGTTGTTCCATGTTTAGTTCTAACAGTTGCTTCCTGACCTGCATACAGGTTTCTCAAGAGGTAGGTCAGGTGGTCTGGTATTCTCATCTCTTTCAGAATTTTCCACAGTTTATTGTGATCCACACAGTCAAAGGCTTTGGCACAGTCAATAAAGCAGAAATAGATGTTTTTCTGGAACTCTCTTGCTTTTTCGATGATCCAGAGGATGTTGGCAATTTGACCTCTGGTTCTTCTGCCTTTCTAAAACCAGCTTGAACATCTGGAAGTTCACATACTGCTGAAGCCTGGTTTGGAGAATTTTGAGCATTACTTTACCAGTGTGTGAGATGAATGCAATTGTGAGGTAGTTTGAGTATTCTTTGGCATTGCTTTTCTTTGGGATTGGAATGAAAACTGACTTTTTCCAGTCCTGTGTCCACTGCTGAGCTTTCCAAATTTGCTGGCATATTGAGTGAAGCACTTTCACAGCATCATCTTTTAGGATTTGAAACAGCTCAACTGGAATTCCATCACCTCCACTAGCTTTGTTGGTTGTGATGCTTCCTAAGGCCCACTTGACTTCACATTCCAGGATATGTGGCTCTAGGTGAGTGATCAAACAATCGTGACTATCTGGGTCATGAAGATCTTTTTCGTACAGTTCTTTTGTGTATTCCTGCCACCTCTTCTTAATATCTTCTGCTTCTGTTAGGTTCATACCATTCCTGTCCTTTATTGAGCCCATCTTTGCATGAAATATTCCCTTGGTATCTCTAATTTTCTTGAAGAGATCGCTAGTCTTTCCCATTCTATTGTTTTCCTCTATTTCTTTGCATTGATCACTGAGGAAGGCTTTCTTATCTCTCCTTGCTATTCTTTGGAACTCTACATTCAAATGGGTATGTCTTTCCTTTTCTCCTTTGCTTTTCACTTCTCTTCTTTTCACGGCTATTTGAAAGGCCTCCTCAGTCAGCCATTTTGCTTTTTTGCATTTCTTTTTCTTGGGGATGGTCTTGATCCCTGTCTCCTGTACAATGTCATGAACCTCCGTCCATAGTTCATTAGGCCCTATGACTATCAGATCTAGTCCCTTAAATCTGTTTCTCACTTTCACTTCATAATCATAAGGGATTTGATTTAGGTCATATCTGAATGGTCTAGTGGTTTTCCCCACTTTCTTCAGTTTAAGCCTGAATTTGGCAATAAGGAATTCATGATCTGAGCCACAGTCAGCTCCCAGTCTTGTTTTTGCTGACTGTATAGAGCTTCTCCATTTTTGGCTGCAAAGAACATAATCAATCTGATTTTGGTGTTGACCATCTGTTGATGTCCATGTGTAGAGTCTTCTCTTGTGTTGTTGGAAGAGGGTGTTTGCTATGTCCAGTGTGTTCTCTTGGCAAAACTCTATTAGCCTTTGCCCTGCTTCATTCTGTACTCCAAGGCCAAATTTGCCTGTTACTCCAGGTATCTCTTGACTTCCTACTTTTGCATTCCAGTCCTCTATGATGAAAAGGACATCTCTTTTGGGTGTTAGTTCTAAAAGGTTTTGCAGGTCTTCATAGAACCATTTAACTTCAGCTTCTTCAGGCATTACTGGTCAGGGCATAGACTTGGATTACTGTGATATGAATGGTTTGCCTTGGAAACGAACAGAGATCATTCTGTCATTTTTGAGACTGCATCCAAGTACTGCATTTTGGACTCTTTGTTGACTATGAAGGCTACTCCATTTCTTCTAAAGGATTCCAAAATAAAATACTTGGTTAACCATGATAAGATATTTGTATAAATAAGTAAACCCAGCTATTTCCTTAATGGAGCTATAATTTTTCCAAAGGGTAGTATCAAAATTTTCTCTTTATTAAGTCTGTTCCCATCTTGGCACACAAATGATGCTTTCTGTGCGCTCTTCATTCTTAGACAAAAGAATGCATGCTCAAATGATGTCAAAACTTAAAGATGAGGGACTCAAAAAATAATGCCTTACAAGTCTGAGGATGGAAATAATTCATTCAGAAGTATGACTCAATGTCATTCTAGGCAAATTTATAGGACTCATTCTCATAAAATAAGGCTTGTTTTCTGGCTAGTCTAACTAGTGTAAATTTGTGAGAGGGAAAGGGAGATTAAATAAAATGAAAGATTTTAGCTAGCTATAATGCTTTGGCAGCAAAAAGTTATAATACTTGGTCAAGATCTTCCTTCTAAAGACTTCCTTTTAGACATCTGGAATTTATTAAAGTAAATGCTAATTTTATAACTTGGAGCAGCTACACTCACTAATATGGACAGTTTTAAAGACAAAGAAGAACCAAGAAAAATTAGTTTTGGACACAGCGAGTTAGGCTTTTGGGGTGTTCAATACTTGAACATGGTTGAGCTCCAATGCCCAACCATTTAGCAGAGGGAAGCCAAAGGAATTTTAGGTGGTCCAGATTGATCAGTGAAGCTACTTATAGATGAATGGAACAGGATAGAAAGCCCAGAAAGAAACCTAAGCACCCATGGTCAATTAATCTATGACAAAGGAGGCAAGAACACACAAAGAAGAAAAGCCAGTCTCTTCTATAAGTGGTGCTGGGAAAACTGGATAACTACATGTAAAAGAAATTAGAACATTCTCTGATACAATTTATAAAATTAAACTCAAAATGGATTAAAGAAAGACCTAAGACTGCATACTATAAAACTCCTAAAGGAAAACATAGGCAGAACACTTTGACATAAATTACTGCAATATCTTTTGGATCTACCTCCTAAAGTAATGAAAACATAACAAAAACAAGCAAATGGAGTCGAGTTAAACTTAAAAGCTTTTGCACAGCAAAGGAAACCACAAACAAAATGAAAAGAAAACCCACAGAATGGGAGAAAATATGTAAAAATGAAGCAACCAAAAGGGATTAATCTCCAAAATATACAAACAGCTCATGCAGCTCAAATAAAAAAACAAACAACCAATCAAAAATGGGCAGAAAATTTAAACAGACATTTCTCCAAAGATGTCATACGGATGGCCAAAAAGTACATAAAAAGATGTTTAACACTGTTAATTATTAGAGAAATGCAAATCAAAACTACAATAAGGTATCTCCTCACACTGGTTAGAATGGCCATTATCAAAAAGTCTACCAACAATAGATGTCGGAGAGGGTGTAGAGAAAAGGGAACCTTCCTACAGGGTCAGAGGGAATGTAAACTGGTGCAGCCACTATGGAGAACAGGATGGAGGTTCCTTAAAAAACTAAATATAGGGCTCGCCTGGTGGCTCAGTGGTAAAGAATCTGTCAGCGAGTGCAGGAGACATGGGTTCAATCCCTGATTCAGGAAGCTTCCACATGCTGAGCAGCAACTAAGCTCACATGCCACAACTATTGA